GACAGGAGAGTTTCTTACATTGCATCCAAGAGAGGGGCAGGTGGCTGAGGGCATGTTTCATATGGAAGGGGGAAAGTCACACATAGAAGGTTCTCTCTTCGCCTGGGTCTGTAGAGAAGATGTGGCCCTTAGCAGGGGAGCTAAACAGGTGTTGAGAAAAGATGAACAAGCCATTTTAAATAGACTGACTGAATATCCCTTTTCAATTGCTCAAGTTTCACACTCTGGCTCTTAAAATTACAACAGCTCTCTAGCTGCAATAGATACTTGCTAGCGTAGACAAGACCTGAATTTTTAATGAAAAAACAAGTACAGGTACCCTCTCTCTTCCCCCACTTTTTCCCCCTAAATATATAAAACCCAAAACTTTTCAGACTTTCTAGATACATCACAAAAAAACCAAAACCTAAATGAAGTAAAAATACAAGCGCAACACGGTTTCCCTTACAGTCCATGCTTTAAAGGTGAAAAGGTCAAGAGAGAAAAAATAAAAGAAAAATCCCACACTACAATAATAATGAACCACATTTTTTCCTTAGTAGCCTTTGAGCATCGATTCCAACAAGGCTGTACCAGAGATAACTAAGACCCTGATTCTGCAATTTGTTTCCTTACTGGTGGAGTGTTAAGCCCATGTAGTGCCCCATTTTCACTGCTGGATCAGGTCACATGGAATGGTTATGGCGGCATTGATCAAATATTTCAAAGCACAAGAAGTGAAGCCTTGTCTTCCACAGGAAAATAATTATTTTATTAAGTATTTTAAAAACAACTACTTAACATTTACTCAAGATAAAAATATTTACAATACCCTACTTTTGAGAAGGCTCCAAAATATAAACACTATATCCCTCTCTAGAGAACAAACTCTCTTCAAAAAACAAAAATTCAAATCAGAAATACATTCATATTTCTCACTTCTTTATGCTCAAGTAGTTATACAAATAATAGACATCTGAAACATTTTCACCTTTTAATATATTTATATAATATATATATATTTTATATATACATACATATTTATAACAGGATTTTACAAATAAAGGCATCAACTGTATACCCAAAAAAACCCAACAATAAAATAAACATTAGAACACAATCTGCAATCAAGCACAGTGCATCTTAACAACTGGTGCAATGGTAGAATGAAATGACAATCTGTCTGACATTTACTCTGGAAATGATTTTCTCAAAATTAATAAGGAAAACAATCACTGCTTTTTGCAGATAATTTCTTTTAAAGCCTACTTGGACAGAGTGTTCATCACTGAAGAAACTACTGAATCTGTGGTGCACAGGCCCGCATAGTTCTAAAATTGTTAACAGGGAAGTTTTCACAATTCCAACTCTATTTAAAACAGCACTTTGAACCAGGGTTTTCAGAGAATCCTAAGAGATTTAGGCACCCAAGTTCCACTGTGATTAGGCTCCACTGAAATTCTGTTTTAAATTCTCAAAGGCACTCAAGGGGGCCACCAATTCAATAGGTCTAACTCTGTGGACTCCAATTGAATTGCACCCTGTTACAAGAGCTCTGGTTTTGGCCCAGGAATGAAACACCCAGTTGGTGGCTATTCTGCCATTAATGTGGCTTTTTTAACCATTTTGTTTTCAGATACACTAGACCCAGAGACTCCTGTACAGCAGCAGTAAAAGAAAGGTGTAGAGTTAGGTGCAACAAGCAAAGGGAACTATAGGAGTATTTTCTCTTCCCCTGCCCCCAACTAGCAGCTTGAGTTATAGAAAAAGATGTAAAGCTTCTAAGCAGCATCTACATTTTATTCATTTTGTTTTTTAAACATTCAGCAGAGGTGTGGAGAGAAACCTGCCTTCGATCTCCCTGAGCCACTGACTATATTACCAATCAGATTGCTACTCTGAATCTTTTTAGAGGGACTAACACCAATGCTAGAGGGACTAACTGCTGTGCATGCATGTATCATTTCAAATACTGACAACTGGGTGGGGCAACAAATCTGGTGGTGGGCCATTGCTTTGAAAAGCCCTCTATAGAAGTACCATATTTTTATATTCACAGACCCTAAAACTTAAATCGGCCTAATGGAATATTTTTCACAGCTTTGAAATATAATCCTCACTGACTAAGTCAGCTCTGTAGGTGGGAAGGGTTAAAGGGTAAAGCAAAAAGAAAACTTTTTTTTCCTTTTGAACTCCCCCAAATGGCTAACCTTGGTGTTTCCTTCATCCTTTCCCACACTATCTAACAAATCAGAGAAAAGTGGATTTTGCTTCCTATTCTCAGTGAACCGTAGCCCCACACCTCAGTCCAGCCGGTATATAAAACTGAAAGAGTCTCAAACTTACAAAAAAAAAAAAAAAAAAAAAAAAAAAAAAGAGAAGAAGGAAGGAAAGAAGGAAAGAAAAAAGAAAAGGTCAACACTGTGCTTAGTCTTTGGTTTCCAAGTTCAAAGGAGGAATCTGCTTCAAAGCTTGAAGCAGAGCTGAGGAGTCGATAGGGGAATGGACTGGTAGTGGAGAAGGAAGTCTCTGGGGCATCAGGAGAGATGGAGAAATTTTATCTGGGCTCATTAACCCTGAAAGTGCAGCAGCAGAGGCTGGGAGACTTGGGTACAAAACGGGCATGGAAGTTGGGTACCAACACTTCTCCAGCATAGGCAGATAGGCAGTTGCAGATGGTGGGATCAAATAAAAAGGCAGGCACAAAGGAGGCTGGTGAGGACCCAAAAAGCTACTCGAAGAGCCAATCAGATCACTGCTAAAATGGCCTTCATCTTCTGAAGTTTCCATCCTGGTCCTTTTGGCTGGTGGGTCCTCATTTTCTTGCTTAATAGAGCTTATTCTCTCTTGCATGGTATAGTTGAGTCCAGTATCCTTTTGAAAATACTGTTGGTCAGCATTTGAGTCACTTTTCTCCAACTCTCCTCCATACCCACTGTCTGTGTCTGTGTCACTACCACTCTGCTCACCACTGGAGTGTGCAAAAGTCCTTTGTATAACAGGCACACAGTTCTTGCCATAACCCTCAGCTGTTTTGGGCAAAGAGCCAGACTTCTCCTTTAAGTCCACTGTTTTGGGGGGCACCTCTCCAGATTTTCGGCTGGGTCCTCCTTGGAAGATCTCAGAGGCCATTCGGTGCAGATGACTGACCAGCTGGGAAGATTTCAGATCCCTGGTATTTTCATGCTTTCCTAGGTATTGCAGCACTTCCTTGGCGCACATCTGGAAACCAGATCGAAACATTTCCTGGCTTGTATCAAGGTTTCTCGATGACAAGTCACCTGAGGGAACATTAACAGAAATAAATTAAAAATTAACAGATCTAAATAGTTTCATTAATATCATTAAGGTGCATTGGGAAGAAGAAGAAATTTTATCTACATATTATGTATTTGTTGTAAAATAGCTAGATAAGTGAATTCTGCTATACAATATGGGCACTTTAAAGACTCACTCTTAGAGGGAGGTTGTAAAAATGGGTATATAAACATGTTTTTGATCCTATATTTATTGTATGTGGCCACCAGGACAGACACTAGAGTTTAGGGAGAAAATAGCAAAAGGCAGCACAGTGAATAAGCCTTGGTATCACCTCAGAAAGACATCAGTTCCAAAGTGATTTGCAAGAAATATCTGGCTCATCTGCAGCTAATGAAAATTGAGTACAAAGGGCCCAAATCGTCCCAAATCAATTGCATGCACCTGGGGAGCGGCGGGGTTGGTCTAAACTTTGGGAAGTGATATTGGGTTTGGCTGTGTAATTCTGCTGCATATCTAGTGGCTGTTCAAGCAATAGCAGTCTTTTTAGAAAAACCAGTTCTATCCTGCCAGACTCAGTGTCACAAAGAAGGGGAAGGAAAAAACAGATGTAAAATACAGTGGGCCTTTAAATAGCCCACTCTTTGCAGCTCAGGTGGGTACTAACTAACTTAATGAGAAACCAAAAAGGATGTGTCAGAGAGATGTTTTCATATTTAGGGGGGGTGCAGGAATCAGGGCTTAATCCAAACCTTATTGAAGTCAATGGAATGACTCCCATCAGTTTGGGATCAAGCCCTCACAGCAAAACTGTACTATGAAATAAAATAGCTATAATCAATTTAATATACTTTAAAATTCAACTTCACAGCTAGTTATAAATTAACTGACTAGACGGATAAATGATATCTTTTCATAAATCCACATGTACATAAAGGGGGGTTTGCGTGCTAAAGAAAAAAAAAGAAACGCTTACTCCTCCCACCTCCCAAACCAAGTGTCATAAGTAGCCAGTATTTCAAAGATGTTGAAAGTAAGATCATGAGACAGTCCAGGGTTCTCACATGATACAAGCATGACTTGAATACTCACCAGCTTGTAAACCATTCTGTAAAGCAATTATTTTCTGTTGCTGCTGCTCAATGAGATTAGTTAGTGCTTTCACATGCTTCAAGGTAAGCTCAAGAACCACAGCCTTCTCCAAATGACCTAATGTCTGGAAACAAATGGACAGGTTAGTACTTATTTTAGAGTCAGTCACGTTTCAAGGAATCTTACAAAGGTTTCAATTCCTTGCAATATATATAAGAAAAAGTGAGCTGCAATTTGGCGGACAAGGTTAAAAACGGTGTCTTTATTCAGTGAAATCTGTTGTCTTGAGCAACAATGTTAACATTTGGAGTCTGATCCACATATTATGTAAACTTAAAAAATAAAAAAGAGGGTTGCAGTGAAGGGTACAGTTACACCCTATGGGTGTTTTAGAACCAACTGCATAGCTCTCAAACAACTATTTTATTTATCTATTCTGCTGCCCCTGCTGGTATCATGACCTTAACACAGGGGGATCCAGTCAAAGGGTTTCTTTTGAACAGTGACAGGAGAGGGGTGTCCTGCAGGATGTCAGCCAAGATGGCTTTCCCCATAACTTCTGAAGAGATTTTTTTTCTTTTAATTTTAATCAAGCACTTAAGCTTTTACTCTTTTTCACACACACACTACAGAAGCAGAAGTGGCTGACCTTAAAATGTGTTGCAGAACAAGAACACAGAGAATGCAAGTATGGAAGCAATCTCTAAAGGGACTTGACTCTCAGATAAGTTAGGGATCAACTTATAAATGGCATCCAGTAAAACTTCAAAAAGAGCAAGAAGGAACATTTTCAGAGGCTCAATTTAAAAAAAAAAAAAATCCCCCCACATTCAAATCAAGCCCACAACAATCACTTTTACCTCATGATTTATTTTAATATTGCAGCAACTTAATTCACATCATCCCACCACCACCACAGATATACACTATTTAGAAATTCACAGTATCTGCAAGGAAAACCAATTGTAATAGATCCATGTGGCAACTCTGCCCAAATCATAGCCTTTTCCACTTAGATCTGCAGTGCTGAGACTAAGCCTCTAGATGGCACAGAAATCCATTAACCAAGGCACATCCCCAAAAGGAAGAGGAGTTTGGATATTAGCCAGATTTTCACTTACTGTAAGTTTGAGATGTTCTGGTAAGAGATCTTTCAGTTGGGCAATGCACTCATTAATCCTGTCACGTCTCTTCTTCTCTATCAGTCTGTGGGGCAATTTATAGGTCTCCTGGAAGCCAAAAGAAAGGAGCAATCAGACAAGACACAAGATGACTTCCTAGCACCATGGATAGACGCATGGTAAAAGGTGATCTAGAAATAAAATTAGACCTCAAGCTTCTGTGTACCCAAAAGTATTGTATGTAACAGCTACTGAAATAAATATTTTCCCCTCTCATCTTCTGAGCCCCAGATTCAAGGACAATAGGTGTGAGCGCAACAGCCTCATAACATTAAAAAAAAAAAAAACTTTGATTCAAACTGTCTAATGTTAAAACAACCCTCCTAAATCCCTCAGCAAATTTTGTAAGAGTTCAGCTTTATACAAAAAGCAGATTTAAAGCCCCCCCGAAAGACAGACACTAATGCATAAAACTTCATTTTTTCAAATGAACACAGGTGTTAACTAACAATGCAAAGATTCAGCAATTCCTCCATTTACCTTATTATCTTCACTTCTTTTTAACCCTCTTCTGGGCTTGTAAACTTGATACATGTGAGAAAAGGCCAGCCTGCACAGATGACATAAAAGTGCGATGAATTAGCATGATTAGCCCAACACACTGAGACAGACACACACACACACGGGGCAAATGCAGAACGCAAGGAGCCCGACAGGCACAGGGGGAAGGACCAGGAGTTCCAACCAAACCCAGCAGGCAGACTGCGCCCCGGGAGGTGGCGGGGAGCACTGGCCCAAAGAAGAGGCATCTTACCCGGGCATCTCGTTGCTCTCCAGCGCAGGCAGCTTGCCCAGGCAGGCAGGAGGCGGCTGGGCGCTGGGGATCATTTCCATTGCAGCGGGGGGCTCTGCTGCAACTTAATTCCGGCCGAAAGCAGCGAAACGGGTCCTCGGAGAGCCCCGGGGCGCGGGCAGGTGGCAGAGCCGCGGGCGTCGGGACGGGCTGCGGGGCTGCAGGCGGCTACGGCGCGCGGACCATCTCGGTGCGGGGCGCGAGCTGAGGAGTCGCGGGCAGGCGGCAGGCTGGGTTAAATGGGAGCGAGTGGGTGGCTGGCGCTACGTGTTCTACCCTGTGACTCCCGGCACGTCTGTCTGGGCCGGGGCGGGAGAGCCCTGCCTTCCCCCATCACATGAGCCTCACGTGTCGGACAGCGCTCCGGCCTCGCCTCCCCCCTTCCCCGCCCTGCCTGCCTGCCTGCCTTCCCCGGCGCCCCGCCGCGCACGCCAGGCGGCGGCAGCAGCAGCCCGAACGTGATGGGGCGACAGCGACAGCGACAGCTCCGCCGGGCCGGGCTGCGAGGGGAGCGAGCGAAGGGGCTCGGGCTGCCCTGCCCGCCTCCGCGGCGCCTCCCTCCTTCGCCCCGGCCCTGCGGAGTCGTGGGCAAGTGGCACCTGCGGGCCCTGGCTTCTCTGCCTTCACCCTGGGGTGGCGCAGCGGGGAGGCAGGCTGGTTGGGTGTCCCCGCCCGGGGGTGTCACAGGTGGCGGGGGGGAGGGCATGAGGGACAGAAGAGGGGGTGTCCAGAGGTGGGGTGGGGAGGGTTGGGTGATGGCCAGTGCTCCCTGTAAGCTGAGAAATGGGTTGCACACCATGGGGAGGTTCAAAGGCAGCACAGCCCCCACCGCTGGCAGCATGTGTGCCTGTTGGTGGTGCACATCCGCACATGCCGCAGTGCTCATAAAACTTATTCTGCCCCGCTGCGGAAAAAGAATAGAGGTAACATTGCTGGGGAGACCCCCATGTAGAACTGCAGAGATCTCACAGAAGAGGGTGTTGTGGCAGGTCTAGGGGTCATGGAGACCAGACGCTCCAGATGCTCCCTCCTAATGCCCTTCCCTAGTCAGAAGGCAACTTCTTTGGCCTCAAGCACCTCACTTAACTACTGAGCTCTAGCTTCCCTCTCAGTAAAATAGGAGGGTGAAGAGTAAAACCTAACTTATCTACCTCACAGGGGTTGTTTGGATGAATTAGTTGGTACGTGGAAAAGGCTTTTGAAGCGGCTCAGTGCCTAGCACTATTCCCAGCAGAGTGGGCAGTGCTCCAGGTTCATGGAAACCGGCAGAGGCAGAGCATGTCGGCTGCACCCGACTGCAGCGTATTTAGCTGATTCTCCATGTTCAGTGGTGTAAAACAGGACGAGGAGAAGACATTCATAAGCTGATATGCTAAAAATGCATTTTCTGAGTGCTTTTGACTGAAAATCCCAGCAAACAGCAGGGAAATGATTGGGACAAGGCCCCTGATGCCACTACAGACAAATACTTTGCCACCCACTAAAAGAAACTGGCTACCACCGCTGAGCTATTATGCAATAATAGCAGCTTTCCAGTGGGAATAGACACAGAACATGCCATATCTATTGTCAGGTAATTTAATTATTTTTTAAAGTCTGTACTTTATAGTAATGCAGTGGTTAATGGCTTGATAAAATGCAGCATAGAATTTGGCCAACAGCATTATCTTCCATGTGCATTTCTACAGTCAGAGGGAAATACCCAGGCTTGGGAATGCCGCTGAGAATAACTGGTATTAAGGGGTGCAGGGATTTGTGTGAACTCTGGCATTAGCAGAGTAGCACTCAGACATGGTCTGGGCTGAGGAGATTGCAGCTGAACCCAGGGCAAAGGCAGAGTGACCAACAATTGGAATTCAGCGGTGCGCTCCTTTGGAGCAGTTGTCAAAGTCAGTGGCTGATTTAAGACAACTGGTAATGTGACAGGCGATGTGAGGGGGAAGGAGGGGGCAGAGAAGCAGAGTATATAATTACAGCAATCTCAGGGCTGAGGCTACCGTAATTTAGGCCTGATCTACATTGAGAAAGTTTTTTATCAGCATAAGCATGTATGATTCTTTTACTGACATAAGAGCCTATTATGGGCCCACTATAAGGCACTTACCAGCAGTGTTCCCTCTAAGCCAGGGGTTTTCAAACTAGGGTCAAAGTGTTCTCTCTGTGTCTGTGGAGCTTTAGAGTAAACAAAGTGTTGCAGGTCAACCAGGGGCTTTCCCTGGCGGGTCTGTGACCCAAGTTTGAAAATCCCTGCTCTAAGTTGTGTGATTGTGCAGCCACTCAGGAGAAATTGAAATGCCGCAGGGCGCCCACAGGTAGGTTTTGTTTCTAGTGGAGGTGCACATTCTGCACATTGATGGAAAAGATTAGAGGGAGCATTGCTTACTGGTATTGCTTATTCAGCAAAGTGAAATCAGCTAAGTTTAAGCAGCAACATGTTTATGTATACATGAAACCTTTAACTGGGAACTAGGATTCCCCTGTGCAGCCTCTGAATTCCCCAAGAGCAGGAGCAGAATAGCTGAGAACTAGGACCAGCTATGAAATATTACACTCTTACCTATTTCATAGGTGTCTGGGGAGGTTTAATTCTTTGATCTTTGTCAAGCATTTAAGACTTTTGTCTGCCTGCTGTTGTACAAATGCTTAGGATGATTATAGTGAAGTGTAACTGCAAAAGCAGGCTTGTTGTTTTGAGGATATGTTGTCATTTCCTCTGCATACTAAACAAGGAGAGGACAGATCACCCCAAAGAAGGTATATTTACTAGATAAGGTAATAACAAAACCAGCCAAGGTTTATCAAAGATTTCCCTATCTCCTCTGAGAGTCCTGTGACAGTCACTGTGGCTAGAATCTTGAAGTCAGCAAAGACTTTGCTAGAGACTGGAGACAGCATTTATGTAAGAGAAGATGGCATGCTCATTTCCGGATACACTGTCATTTAAATGCATGTGTGGTGGCAAAAGTGCTAAAGGGGTTTAGAGTTGTAGACTTGTTACACTAGAAGGTGACTCAGTTAACGAAACCCTGTCAGGTCATTGTAGACCCAAAGCGGAGGTTTGGTAAAAATCTTACTTGTAGGAAAGAAAAATTCCCCTGTGGTGTCTGCAGCCTAAACAGTACAGTATAGCTACCAACCAAGAACCACAAAACAAAGCTAACTATTCTCTCACTGAGCATTCTCTCATATGTGTTTTATAGCCCAAGCCTGCATAGGATTCACTGTCATGATCAATTCACTGATTTCAAGTCTCTGCAGCGTTGGGCCCTTCAGCCACGATCTTGCAAACTTAAGCATATATTTAAGTATATGAGTAGTCCAATTGACTTCAAAGAGACTACTGGTGCCTAAAAAGTTAAGCACGTGAATAAGCATTTGCAGGATCAGGCCCTTAAATTGAAAGCTCTTAAAAGCAGAGATTGTCTTTATTAATGTTAATCTACAGCTGTTGTTAAATAAATTCATTAACACTTATTACAAAGTGAAACTGATTAATTGGTAAAGCAGAGTTTTGTAAAGCAAACAAATAGCATAAAGAGTGGAAAAATAAATTAGGCATTAAAATCCTTTGGTTTAAAGCTCTAAGCTTATTTGTACCACAGGTGAGGGCATTTAAAAATAATGTATAGATATAGCTATTTAATTTTAAGCTTTTAACATACTTTCATTTATTCTTCTCTTACTTGTCTTTATTAAACAATAGAAATAAGTAGAGTTATGGTAGGGGATTGCTACTGGCAAATTCTAGCATTCTGGTTCAAGGGAAGATACTTTTCACCACCTCTAAGTTTTAGATTTAAAATAAAAATATATGTGGAAAAATTCATGCCCACTGGTTGTTTGACTCTTACATGTACTTTGAGACACTACATTCCTGGAATGGGTGGTGAGCTAGAAATCAGGATCAGAGGTAATCCCCCATTATTTAGCTCTTTCACTATTGGTATGTTTGCCAAATAATGTGCCTTGTCAGGTTTCACTGATGACCTTAATGGTAGTTGCCAAGGATTTTGGATTCCCCCCTAGAAAGAGAGTCCCAAATGAAGTTATTACATTCTTGGGCATCAAGTTAGATTGTGGGAGAATTAAATTACACTTTCCTAGTGCCTGGCACAGCTTTCACGGGCTGATGCAATCATTAATTTGTCACTTTAATTTTTGTTTGCAGAGCCATTTCTCCATGGCAGATTTTTTTACAATGCCTGATTGAAGCTATAATGAAATGTTAAAAGTAATGGCATTATTTTCTAAAGCCATTAAGGGACAATCTGGCATTTCCAATGGTAGTTGTAGAGCATTTGATGCCATAGGATAACAACAATAATAACTTGTGTCCAACAGAGATTTATAGTTATTTACAGATGTTAGTAATACAGTTCTTCAAATCATTGACACTCTTAAGAATATGTGGGGAATCCAGGGAGTTAACAGACAGTAGTGGATTCAGACCTTTGGTTACTGAGGGCGGTTTTGTTTAAAATGTCTCTTACTTAATATACCCATGAAGGCCAGGCATGTGCCCATGGGCTGTAATCAAATAACTGACTCTCCCTCTCTCATTTCCAACAGTCTCGTTTCATGTTACTGGCACCGGAGGTTAAAGAACAGCCACATCAAATACCAAAAACCTTTTGGAAGCTAAGGGTATCCAGAGTAAGAGGAGAGGAATGGAAGTGGCTAGTTCTCAGCATATAGTGCTGAGTGTAAGGTCCTATGTAATAAACCTTCATTACTTTCTACAGAAGTAAAAGGTTTATATGGGATCTGCTTAATTCTAATTTAACAGGTAGTCCTGTCTGCATTACATGGGAGTGGCGGAAGATAGGCTTATTCTTTAGTAAGTAGGTGCGGCAATTCTTTTCCCATGCAGGCAGGTCCCAGATCTCAGCTCCAGTCTTTGCAGTGAGAAAAATTTTAAAAGGGCTAAGGGAGGCAACAGGGAGTTGTCAGCTAGACAGTACAGCATCATTCATCAAGTACTGACAGCTTTACTGGAAACCAAAGACAGTATGCAACAGTTAAGCTCCTTGGTAAATGGAGCATTCATTATGCCATTTTTGAGTGTTAAGGATCAGTGACTCAGTTGGTCTCTAAGAACGAGACTTAGGAATGTTATTTCTCAATATTATAGTCATGGATGAGTCTATGAGAATCCACAATCATCAGTCTACCGGATGGATATATGAGGTTGCAATGCATGAGTTAACTACATCATAGACCGTCGGATATAGTTTTTTATCTAGTTCTGTTTGGTGTATCTTCAGGTACTTACCATGGTTTACATTTAACCTAGCCAAATATGGCACCTCTCAATTCATTTAT